CTTGTAGTTTCTTGTTTGTTAAATTCCACAATGTAAATGTCAGAAAGTGTTTTGTAGTTGTTTTGTTATAATGGCATTTCCAAAAATTGTTTTCCTGAGTGGTTTTATAGCTATTTAATGTATGATGTGTTGGTTTTTTTCTTGAGGTAACAGATGAGAAGCATTTTTACTCTAGTTTTGTTCCATTAGAGTGCAGTAGAGGCAGTGTGTATTTGTTCTTCTGATCGCTGTAGCGATACAAAAGAAAATCCGGTGAAATTCTTCTGTTTATACAGCAGTTGTATATGTTTTTATTAGTATTTGGAACATGGCTGTTAAAACTTTGAGCCTCTTTTACAGTTCAGACCACTGCTGCTCTGTTGAGCTGATTTGTTGCTGACAGTTACTGGAATGCTAATCTTTATGGTCTAAGTAAATACGGAAAACACCAGGGCTGGATTCCTGAGCTGCTGAAACATGTTGAATGGAGACAAGAAAACTTTTCATTTGTGGTGTTAAAACTTAGTGAGGACTATGTTTTAAATGTGCTGTTAGGAAAAACATATGTAGTTAAACGGTGGACTTAGAGTGCTTAGCAGGCCAACAAAATCTCTGATTCAAATACTGCCCTATTTGTATGTTAATGTTAAGTTTGTCTGTGTGTCATTTTGTATATTTAGAATGTTATTTTGTATACCTTCCATGAGTAAGTGATAATACTATCAGTTAAACTTAAGGATTTTTACTTCTCCTTTGCAGTGCACTATTGTTACTGGAAAGCGGCAAAAAAATTCACTCTCTAAGACTTATTTTGAAGTTTTAGAAAGCAGGCATTCTTTATTGCAGCACTGGGTGCACAGGGGATAACTCCACCTAACGTGCACACCCAAAAGACAAAACTAGCAAGTGTTTATACTATGTTAATATACATATTCAGTATATTTCCGAGTAGTGCTTATCACATTCATGGATTTTCCGGGAACTCGTTAGCATATGCTAATGTCTTTCGCCCATGTTTGTTGGCACCTCCAGGTGGTCCTCGGGGGTCTTCAGACTCAGTCCTGGTATCACATATACCTTATCCCTCAAGGCTGGTTTTGTGATCACCTTGGAACTTTCTTATCTTTGTGCATCTCTTCTTCCAAGGCCGAGCTGTTTAAAATGAGATTGTTCCAGAGCTTCTTATCTTACAACTAATTATTTTCTAAGTTACAATGGTTTCCCTTTTGTTTGGTTACATCTATTGAGCAATGGCTCTAATTGCTTGAATTGATCTTAATATTTCAATATTCACAGGTATCACTATTTTAATGCCGTCTAACTTATTAGGAAAAAACTGAGTGAGTTTATTTTAAGATGAGAATGTAAAATGAGTAGATTTACGGTTTTCTTTAAAAATTTTCTTTTCTTTTTTTTTTTTTTTTACCAAGATATATGGTAGTCACAAGTAGGAAGTTATACGACAGGTGGAATTAACAGACCATGTATTTGGATGGAAGTCCTTTTAATAAACAACACTTGTCAAATTACATTTTTCAAAATTAGCTGAGATTTTTTTTTAGCTGTAAGCTGTAAAACAAGCCTTGTGTAACAGCTGAAGTTTGAAGGGAACACAGTCTAATTAATTTTACCTGGAAAGGTCATTGCACGGTAGGAGATTGCTGGCTACCTATTCTTGATGCTCTCTTTGGAAATGGGTCAGCGTATATTCCAACACAAAGCTTTGGATTTTGTTTTGCTTACATTGCAATCTTCCATGATTGAGGCACGCATGTAATCTTCTAATCTTCACTGTCTGATGTGGCTTATGCTCATGCACCAAGTACAGGAGGATCTAACATAGAGTGTCTCTCCCCCTGTATTGCTACTGCTCACTTCTTAATACAGAAAAATGGTACTAGAAAGACTCCTCCCTGCTCCAGGGACAGCAAGATGGAATTCTGCATAGGGTACCATGTGTTGGGAGTTTCTTCCATCAGCATTGGCAGTACTTCTGGGGCAGGAAGACAGCTCCATCTTTTTGCTCTTCCATTTATTATTTCTCCTTGGTGTTCAGCTTGAGAACCCTGTTTTTATACAAGCACAGTCTTACTGCATTTTTGATGTCAGATAACTGTAGGTGTTTTTAGGAGACTTCTGTAAGTTGTTCACTGTAGTTGCAGTCCCTCACTCTCATATTTCTCTTTCCATGTCTCTCTTCTTGGACTCTTTAATTCACGCATTACAAGAAAGAAGGGGATTTCTCAATTTTAATAGTAGCCAAAGCATTTGGAGGGAAATAATTTTAACTTTCATCTCTGAAAGCATTTATTCTAAAAATTAATTTATTCATTATATCCTGACTCAAATTTATGCTAATGATAGTAGCTTACAGCATGTGCTGTCTGGTAGCCATAAGCAGTCAGAATGCCAATTTAAATGCAATTCAGTGAGTCCATGCAGTAGTTTACAAGCCTGAAAATTATCAGTGTCTTTTCTTGATCCTGTGTCTTTGGGCTTATTTTTAAAAACTGTCTGAAAACTCTGGGGCCCAGTGACGGTAGTGTAGAGTGGTAATCTAGCAATTCGTCCACCTTCAGATGGGTGAACAACATAATAAACCTTGCAGAAAATAATCTGTTAACTCCATACAGACTATGTGACTGTTCAAAGTCTGTTTTCCACAAACAAAGCTCCACTTGACAGGTTTACTTGCCACCAATAACACCAACACTCTCCAGATTCTTGAGTCAGGAAGGTAGAAAAACACTTAAGTTTCAGATAGGTTTGTTAGGGAATTTAACTTGTCAGGTTATATCTTTGTGTTATTTCTAGACAAATATGTTGTGCTTTCCCTTCAGTCTTTAGTTTTATGGTTTTTACTTGTTTTGAGAAGTATCACTTTGAGTTAGACTCAGTGCCAGAGATCCTCATGAAATAACTAGTCATTAATTGCCCATAAACTTCACAACTTCTGTTCTCAGTTAGTGCACTACGGGAATAGGTAGGGTAAAGAAAGCTTATAAAACCTCTTTTGATGACCTCCTGCTTATCTGCTTCAAGTGGTTGCTTTTCCTTCTTTATGAGAAAACCTCAGGTTTTAAAAATCTGTTAAGACACTTGTTTCCAGTTTACAGAATTTGGGTGGTGGGAGGGGAAGCTGACGCAACAGGAACTGTTAAACTTCATTTTCAGCTTTACCATTTTTTGGGGTCTTTTTTTTTTTAATACCATTTCAAAATTCTGTATTAGTTGCCAGTATATGTTGACAATAATCTCTGCCTTTCTGAAGCTTGCTAGAAATAGGATTTGGAAAGTTCACTTTCTTCAACCTTTCATAAACAGGATTGATTTATCTCAATACCCAATTTCTAACTCTCATGGGAGCAAGATGGATTAGGTGTTTGAAATTTCATTTTGTTCTTGTTGCTTGAAGGACAAATGGCTGCAGTTTCACATTATAAGGGAAAGTAGTTTTTCATTATCAGAATTGAAGGAGAGCAGATAGATAACAAATACATTGAAGAAATGAATCTTTTTAATCCTCTGATTTCACACCAGGATCCTTATGTGTCGGTTTGGACCTCAGCTTCAGCTTCTGGACTTAAAACAGCTGTATTGTTTGTCCATGTTTAACCTATTGCTCTCTGACTTAGGACAGATTCTTTCTGGGTAACTTTTGCTCTGTTTACCATACTCTTTCACAGGAAGCTGAATGGTTGATCACCATTGGGAATTTACTATTGCTTCACTTTGTTAATAGAACAGCCAAAGTAATTTTGACAGATATTTAAAGACAAATTCAATTCTGCTGAGACATCATTGTTGAATGGCACTTACGTAATGATCTGACAAACAACTTAACCTAAAGCATTTGCTCAGATGAGCTTCTAAACAAGTAACTGTTTATTAATTGTCTAAGTAGTAATAATGGATTGTAATTAATAGTATAAAGCCATGCACAACTTACAGCAAGAACGGTTACCTAGTTAAAACAACAGAAGACTGAGCTCTGAGTCTCTGTTTCTCTATACAAGTTATTTGGCCAAGATTTTATTTTCACATGACTGATTAAAAGGGTACAATATTTGTTTACTTCACTGGTACATTTGTGCTTAGAAGTACTTTTGACAGAAGGGAGTGCTAGTGTACATCTCTGTAAATACTAATTTTTCAGTGTGAAAATAAAGCAATACTTTGGAAATAAGTAAGCAAAAATCAAGCTGGCACATACATTCTGCTTTCACACCGAAGATTCACTCAGTTTTTGAAAGGATACGTTTCTATTTTAGAATAGTCCTAATGGAAGCTTTATATGCTTTTTCATTAGCATTTTTGTCTGTTTGCCATTGCCATTTGATCAGGAAACTTGGGGAAAAAGCAGCTCATGACAGGGATGGTGAGTTAAATGTCAGAAATGCTGGAGAAGATTTTTGTTGTGTTATCTTTTTATAAAAGATATACTCTGCACTTTACCCTTCTTAAACTAGGAAAAAAATACATTTGACAGTTTTTACTTTCATGAGTTATATTGTCTATTTTTAAAATGTCTGCATCAGTAGTTTCAAAATGTCTTGAAATTATTCTCCCTGCTCAAAACATACATGTAGAAGTGTAGGCTGTGTAGTGTGCATGGATTTATTTCTGATGATTTGCTCAGAGGTATGCAAATGTCCAAGCGGTTTTTCTTAAATAAGAAGGGTTTATTTTTATGTGCCTTTATTAAGTGTGTTTTCTTCTTTTTGTTGTTTGTTTGTTTGGATATTTCTTTCAGGTTAAAAATTTGTTGTATCATCTCAGGGAAGCAGTAGCCTATTGTGGGTTTCTTGGAGCAGCAACTCAACCCAGTAATGAGCAGATGATACCAGTTAAACAGTGTCTGGCAGACAACATCATCACACTGGCAACACTGCACCAGCAGTATCAAAGAGCTGGGGACTTCAGTGTTCCCGAGTCAGCAGGA